ACTTAATTTATATTTTCGAGTGGTGACATATACAACAATATACTAAATTTGATTTTGATGTCAGTTATAACGGTACACTTAGAAAAATAATTTGATTGATTTAACCAGATTTTAATTAAATCTGAGGTCAAAATATGATAATACGACTCATCATGTTGATTCAACCATACCATATGTTGGTTTTCATATCTTCTTTACTATATGAACTAAAATTTCTTTAACAAAATTATCACGTTAAATTAATGAGTATGTGACTAGAGCATATTTTTAAGTGTAATAACTATTTTACTTAACAGAAACTATTACATTTAATATAGAGACTTCGAACAGTATTGAAATGCAACAACAAAATGTTTATTTCTTTTAATTATTTGAATTTTTGGCTGACAATAAAGCTGTTTCGAGTTTTGCCAAATATTCATAATCAGTGCTATAGGAATTATTATTATTAATATGGAACTATTACCTTATATTTCTTGAGATTGCAAGTACCAAGGGTTTAACTCATAACCTACCAGAGTTAGTGGTCATTAACCAATTGACCACAAATCCGTATTTGACTTGTATGTTCAAAACTGGAGTTTTATTAATTTGTTTTAAGTGTTTATTAACAAATTCACTTGCTAATTATAGTTATTTTTAATTGTTAGATTTCCATACTATTTTTTGTAGAAACTTTAGTTATTGCATGTTTTTATATTATTATTTCATGTGTATATTATTAAATTTTTATTTATTTTTTACCACCAATGAAACGCTTCTAAAGTACAACGAAATCAAATCGTTACAATCCACATATATTCACATATATATTTTTAGAAACTTGAAACAAATTGATGAAGATTGGTCTAGAAGTTTTGTTAACTTCCTTAAATTATTTCGGACTTATTTCGGTTCTTTTTTTAATTAAATATAGCCACCTTTTAAATATTTTCTATAAAGCTCCTGAAAAGCAATTGTTCTCAATGCTCTATATCACAATGACCTATTCAGCTTATGATAGTATCTATTAACAATAACAATCCTTCGCTTGAGCTCCAAACTATGTCGTTGTTATTCATTTCGATTGCGGTGACCCCAAATTAGATCAAATTCACATACTTCATTTTGCCCCCATTTACAGCTAAATCGACCTCCTCGCTAATAGCACAGGCAGTAGAAATATCATATTTGCTGGGACCAATAATGTAATGATCTGCATAGTTTCGTGCCGTTACGATGAACACCTGTCCTGTGAATGATCACTATAATAACAAAATAAGTGAACTCAAAAGAAAGAGAATCACCTTGTATAAAATTTTGCACGATATTGAACGTTTCGGAAAGATTTTATTCTTCCTTGAAGAAATTATAGGTACTGCTTGATGTTATTTTACACAGCGGTATTAGATTTACAGCTATACCAAGAACATGAGGCTAATTGAAGTTACTTTATAATCGACAAAAATGTGTCATTGTATTTGTTTGTGGACTTCCTCTTGGATTGAGTGTCTGATCAATGATGAAGAGCTAAAGTCGTAAGCTAGACAAATTAAATTCAACCAGTGCGTTTGCAAGTGGCTTTAATCTTTTACAAAGTATACTGGAAGGAACTTTGTATGCGACATGTATTAGATGCATTTTGCGGTAGTGGGTATAAGTCATTAATTCGCTTTTTATAACCTAAACATTCCAAAGCTTATTTATTTATTTATGAGTTCACATTAAAATAAATTTTAAAGTTAACTAAGAATAAGGACCTTGACTCT